CGCTGCATTCTTACGGCATGCCAGCACGCAGAAACCTGTGCTCAAAGGAGAGCACAGGAATCACGTGTAAGACACGGTGGTGAGGACTGGTGACCATGGATCATATCAAATCCTTCCTACTTCTATGACTGCATAAAGATTTAACACCTATGACTCAGACGTATCAAAGATTTAGTATTTAGAGTATGCAGAGTTATACCACTTTATTGATTCTGTACATTTTCGTGACTGTATTGAACAGACCTCTTTTGACCCTAACGCAGCTAGCGCAATCATCCGTGCAATTGTTTTACGTATGTACGCACGATTTTTGTGCCTAAACTCGATCCCTACAGACCAAAGCGTTCTTTCTTTCTGATTCTTTTTAATTCTCTGGTAAAGAAGGTGACCTAAAGTATACGGTGTGTCAAGGACACACAGTATAACTAAAAGTTTAAACAATGATTTAGTCGGGTATATACGTTTCAAGTGTATTGGGTAAACCTTTTACGAAATTACAAAACAAAAGAGGTTGAATAGACTCTCATAAATGGAGTATTATTTTGTATTGGAACACACTGAGTGAAGAGAAACTAAGATGTATCAACACAGATAAACAAAGCAGTGAAGACGCCACAGTTATTGCTCTTGGCTTGTTTACTTATGAAAACAGATGGCCAGAATTGCCATTACAATTATTACAAGAACTGTGCCGATTACCAAAAGACCTCTCTGCATTTCCCATTTAACCTGCTGGCCATATTTAGTCATGCCAATGGTGGCGGTAATTTCAGCTTTGATATTTTCATGTGGGAAGGCAACCGTGGGGACCTCGCAACCCAGGAAATCACACAATGGCTTCCATCCTTGCTTCACGTTGTATACCAGCAACTTGTCAGCGGGAACAATGGACTTTACACGGTGGTTGTGGATACGATATCGCTTTCTGAAAACATAGGTGGACTTGGGGTTACAAGAGCCAAAAAATGCATTAAAGTAGGAGTCCACGATGCCCCTAGCTTTACATGCTGTTGGCGATAACAAGTACCGAACGGGAACCACGTATCGATATCGTGCCGCACGCGCAGCTATTGATTCCAGTTGATTTACATGACTTTTTACCCAGGAATCTTCATCCCGTTCGCTCAGAATCACTTTACAGTCAGGGAAAGCTTCCAGAATTTCCTCGTAGAAAAATGTTCCAGGCATATCAACGCATACATCAGCGTTCTGGTAAAGTCGCTTAACATCAGGCTTGGCGCCATTTTGAAACACATCAACCCAGTCATCTACAAAGTCAAAGATTTGTTCTTCCCAATCGAACACTGTAAATCCAAGGTGCCGCAAGGCTTTGGCGATTGATTTAGCACCCGTTTTTGCATATCCTGCACAAATAATCTTCATGAGTAAAGCTAAGGAAAGTGAGTTCTTTCTCTGCTGTGATGTTTATATCCCGGGGGGGGGGGG